AAAAAAAAAAAAAAAAAAAAAAAAAAAAAAAAAAAAAAAAAAAAAAAAAAAAAAAACAACCTCGGAGTCTCAAGTCTGAGACAGAAATATTATAGATTTTATGCACATTGATGTATTTACGACCTTCGAATGTTATAGGTCTTCTTGAGATAGGAGGATATTTACCATGTTATCTTCTTGATAAATATGAATTTTTGGCATTCTAAACTAATAATAATAATAAAACATTTATATATCTTTCTGAAATATTCGAAGCATATTATATTCTAAAAATGAATTATAAACTTTTCAAGAAATATAGTTAATAAGTAAATTTTTTCCTTAAAAAATAGATTTTATGATTTTTGCTTGCATAATAATGACAGAAATATTTTAAATACGTAAAATATTTCTAAAAATTGCATTTTATTTTGAACTAGATCTAAAAATCAAATTTTGTTCAGTTAAAATAATAAATGATATATTTGTTTTATATTTGTTAACTTTTCAGTTAGGTGTTTGTTTTTCTTCGCTAGAAATAAAAAAAATACTTAAACTAAACAACGAAAATATCAGTGGTATGATAGAAGCTACCTGACAAGATTGAAAAATATTAACAATAGATTGAAAAGCTGAATTCAATTTATCCTTTTGTTACTGTATTTTTTTTCTTCTCACCTATTTGTCTGAATCAGCGACAAAGAAATATGCACAAAGTAAACAATGCTAAATTTTGAAAGTTTTGTTATTTGAATAGATTAAAAATAAAAGTGAAATACAGAAGAAATGATAAACAATTCTATTTGCATTTTAGAGACGTTAATGAAATACAAATAAAATATAAATAAAATATATAACACATATACGAACAACGCTTACTATAACAAGAAATATGTTTATTTTCATTTCTAACAATTGTTTTTACTCCAATTTACGTATTTAAATGTACACATTTAATTTCCTAAGAATATTTGATATGAATTTAAATCAAAAGGGAATTAATTGAATTTTGTTTTCCTTTTTAAGAAGCATATTGTCAAATTAATGCAAAGTATTAAAAAAAGGTGATCCCAGAAATGAACTCTAAAATTAAATTTAAATATAATTTTTGTCACTTGACCTCACGATGTAAAAATCATTTTATATCATTAGGACTAATAATATAACTAACAAAATAAGATGAGATAATACGATTAATTAATCATGTTTATACATGCAGATATAGGTAATTTAAAACAAACACATTATTCAGTATCTTCAAACAATAACGTATCTTTCCTAGAAATATTTTTATTACCTTTCTCAAAACCGCCATAAATGAAAGAATTTTTCACGAGAATTTGACTTAACTATTTAAGTCCTCTTTTTCATTTTAAAAATGTCATTCTTAAGCTCCTTAAAATATAAAGCAATTTAGCATCTCAAAAACACTGTGTATTTGTGAGTGGACCACTATCGCGAGCTTTCTTAATGCCTTTGAAATTTATATTTTATAAACAGCTAGTATTGCACATTCATTGTGTTGTAAAAATTTACATATAGGCCAATTTTTAAAATTAGATAAGGATAGTTATGCTTTAAATTATTAATCCAATATTCAGCAAATTAGTTTCTGTATATTATTTAAGGATAGTGACGTAGATTTAACGGAAATAGAATTTTCTCTGCTACCGTTTTTCATTCACTATTATGCGAATTCGATTTCTTACCATCTATTTTATTCAATAAAAGTAATAACTTTTGGAGTACGATTAATTCATTATTGCTTCGGCAGCATTCGTAAATAAACTATTATATAAACTTACTAAATGCTGTATACAATTATTTAATTCGTTATTTTGCTAACGAGTTGCGGGAGAAATATGAACCACACTGATCTCTGATCTTCATAAACAGAGAATGAATGATTCAACTTCCGTTTTACATTTTATATATCCAAGAATGCAAATATTTAATAACACGAACGCATTGTTTAGTTTATAAGATACATTTAATTTAGCAAAAATTAAAATTATACATTTAAAATTCAACTGTAAGCTAAAATAAATGATTATATGTAAAAAAAAAAGTTTTGATCAGGAAAAAAAGGAAAAGTTAATATTCGATTACAAGGAGTTTCTTAAATATGATGACTGCTATAAATTTTTGAATTCTGTATCTATATTTGAAATTGAACAATAAAATATTGGGGTTTTTTGTGGTATGTTTAAATGTAATATATGATCAAAAAAAATTTAGATTTAAAAGTAAGGTGACATTTTTAGTCTGATTGACATCGTTTTTATTGAACATCTAAAACTAATGCATTTGCAAGAGGCAGTCAATATACAACGAAGGTATTTAACATTAACTATTTAACAAATTTAAAAATCATTTCTAAAAT